TCCATCCTAAAGAAATAGACAATACTCCACTGAGGCTCACAAGGTCTGCTTCATTATCCATGGAGATGAAATCATACAACAATTCTACATTACAAAACAGGCAATCAAAATTTGTGTCAGTGCTATAAGTCATGTACTTGTAATCCATGTTTTGTCACTCCTCATAACCCCCCCCCCTCCCCCCTTTCTTCAAGGCAGAAGTAATAGGTATGAAAAAAGTGAGTTTTGTCTTTCCCATTGCTGAGGCCCTAGACCTAGTGTCAGCCTCAGAACTTAAAATCAGTGAGTCTAGCTAGAGTTGAAATGGCTACCAATTTATGCATACTTCAAATAATACTACAGTATTGGTTTTGAATGGCATTCAAAATGATCACAGCATTATTTTCCCCATTATGCATGAATTTAAAAATTATACATACTTTACTGAATGATGATAGAAGTGAGTACAAAAGTGTGATACCAGTGTGAAAGATATTTGAGCTACACATGAACATTAAGCAACAGGGGGGGGGGGGGAGAGGATAAAGGGTTGCCCATCACTTTTTCAATTAGCACCTCAGATTCAACTTTTAGGGTAAAGATTATTACATTATGCAGAAATTGAGGACAAGAAAAAAATGATGAAGCTATCTTGAAAAGGAAATCTTTTGTGAAGTGGGTTTATACCAAGCCAATGATTCTCATGTGTTCCTCACATCACAGCATTGCTCAGTGGCATCAAACATGTTTAGAAAACCAAAAATCCTACACACTCACATCTTTCCTTTCAAAGGGATTCTCAGGCAGGAGCACTTCTTAAAAAAGCATGCTCAAGGGGCAAGGTGTGGTGATGAATCAATGTGGATAATCTTCTTATCACAAAAAACATATCTAAACTACCTAATATGACTTACCTCTTATCCCTTATTCTAATCACAATCTTGGCTTGTAAGTAGACAAACATCATCTTACTGTAGTAATCATTTGTTTATTTGTTCAATAATATGTAAATGGCACCCAGGGACCATCAAACCAGGGGCTGCAAGATGTAAGTCCCAACTGAAAGGGAGAGGCTAATCTCCATTGGAATGGGAACCACTTCTTCTGAATGCTTGGTTTCCTACTTCATTTATGATGGTGGATGCACTGGAGCTAGCTTAAAGACAAAGGCAGAACAATCATACATACTCACTGCTTTGCTCATAACTGGCCCATTTTGTATTTATAATTTTCCAAAGTGAGCTCCCACTAACAGCAATGTGGACACAGAATTTTGAGGATGACATACATCATTGTCAACTCAAGTACAGTTTTGTAAGCAAAGGTGAGGTCATATGAGGTGCAACAAGTCAACAAAAAACTCAAGAAAAATGGGTCCTATCATCTTTTCCTTTTTTCCCATTCTTAAATTTAAAAAGTACATTGTTATATAAAAAGGACATTTAAGAAGTTTTCAGTATTTAAAAGTGTCTTGCTTGGCTCTGCATCTTACTACATAAGATTTGGTTAAGAGAAATAGTCTTCTTGTTACACTAGTTGTGAGTACTTTGCACCTAACTTCAGTTCACCAGACCCAATTAGTTTCTTAAAAGTATTTTTAAATAAACTCTTGTAGACACAATTAGAGGCATACTTTTTTACATCTCTTGTCCTCATCTCTCATCCTCAAAAGTTTTAGTTAAGACTTTCATTTGGATTGTAAATAGTATATCACAATTTAGAAACACTGTGAAAAACCCAAAAAAAAAAAAAAAAAAAAAAAAAAAGACATAGAGAAAACAAAGTATAAGTTAGAGCATGAAGGAATTTTGATTGACTGTCACAATCAACTTGTTCACAGGAGATGAATGACTAATGACACAGTGTGCATTTCAAGCATTCTTTGTATTTATTTGTGGTTACCCATTCATCAAAATCTACAAGTCATGGAAAGATGGATGAAGGTTACAAGAGGAAGACATTAAAGGAAAGCAATATCACCCAACAAAACCAGGATGGATAGATTCTCCATTCTTCAGTTGTGAATTAATGAGCTAAAAATTTTAATGCAAAAATTGAAGTGTATTTTGACCCCAGGCCCAGTCCCATTTGTCCTTGGGTGCTTCTGGAACAGTCCCAGTTTACAATTGGAGATGTTGCTCAGTCCTCTATCAATGGATTGGGATGCAGGCTCTGTTTTTATTCTTAAATTTTATTTTATTATTCATTCTTGTTAGGATAGAATTTTACCATGAAGCAGCTGTCACTTACACTTACACTTGATAAAAATCAGGTGGTGGGGCCATGCATTTGCATTGGATTCTATTCACAGAAAGAGTGGAGGTGGCTATCAACAGCAGTGGTGATGGTTGTGGCAACCCCAAAGGTGATTGATGTGTGGAGAAGACTGACAGCTTATTCAGTTGGATCCAGTCAACATTACCTCCCATTCACCCAGGTTTGATGCAATAATCTTCATAAAAAAGAGTTTATTTCTGGAAGAAAAGGATTCATTTTGTGTTTTTTTGCTGCATGCCACCCTCTTTAGATTTCGTTTGAGTGTAGAACTCTGGGCAGTGCTTTTATGAAGTAGCTCTTGTGGTTAGGATGTCTGGACACATGATTCCTGTAAGTAGTTCTTGTGGAATTGCTATTTTTCTATTTCCCATTAATAAATGAGATATTAAAATGAAATATAAAACCAAACCCTTTTTCCACAAAACTTTGAATTGTTGTCAAACCATGTATCCTGGATGTAGAGAAAATAATAATAATAATAATAATAATCTGAGATGGATGCTCATAACTATTGAAAAAAGCTGAGAGGGATCTCAGCTGGCATGTTAGAGAAATTGAATGAAATAATTACCACAGCCTTGATGTGCTGACAGTGGCATTGACTTGAAACCGAAACTGTGTGGGCTAATAGACATTCACCACACAATACAGAAACCAACCACAGGGGGTGGGGGGGGGGGGGGAGGATAAGGTAAAATTTAGTTAGGCTGATAAAAAATAAAAAAGGAACTATGCAGTTCAGACAGAGAATGTTTGGGATTAGATGTTTCCTCATGTGCTTAACTAACAGTTTTTTTTTTGTCTTCCATCTATGCTTTGTGGGTGTGTTTGAAAGAGAAATGGTCATTAGTATCATCAAGGGAGTGCCCTTCCTTTATGACTGTCAGGTTCACACGATTTGTTTTGAAGCAAAATTTCATAACAGTCGGAGTAGAATCAGGTTTCTCTCTATTATCTATTCTTTTCTTTTCTTTTTAAAATTCAGGCACGCAACAAAATCAAAGATAATCTGACTTCAGAGCCAGCAAACCCACTCACCACTATACCCTATCACCTTATAAATGAAAGAAATAGGATTAATCCTTCAAAGGTTCTCTTATATGTTGTAGGATGGTGTTGATTTGCTGCTATCTAGTGTGTGGAACTAGGGGATTTGAGAAGAGACCAATTGAATGATTACCTGGCACTTGTGGAGTACTTTACATATGTAAATGCATGCATTTAAATCCATTTACAGAAAGATGTTTAATGTAAATTGTTCTGGAGCCTACTGAATTCAATACCTGCATAGTTGCATATACTACTATTCAGAAGAAAATGATTCATATTTTTACTTTTAAAAGGGGGGTTACAATTGGTCTCTTCATGGTGACTGCAAGTATTAATTCAAATTTGAGGCCCTTCGTGATTTAATTGAGCTAATGTGTATGTGTGTGTATACATACATACATACATACATACATACATAAATATGTGAACAAAATAATGGGTGCAATAAATAAGATATCTGTAATATCCTTGAAATTAATCATAGAAAAAAAAATTCAATATTGAATTTTGTATGCATGTATACACATACACAAACTATTGACTTTTGAATATTCATATTAGGAAAAGTGTATGAAACTGCTGCAATTTCATATATATATATATATATATATATTCTAATCCCGTATTAAACATTTATCTTGCCTTTACTGAACACCAACAAAATAATTCTGTATAATTGTTGCTATCAATAAAAGCGCAGCACACAAAATGAACAATGTGCCATTCATGGTTCACTAGTACATACATGTCAACATTAAATGTCAAACAGTATGAATTACTTCCATAATGGGTACATGCACCTTTTTCATTCCTTTACTTATTTATTCTTATTTATTTTTATTTATTTGATTTCTCTTTCTTTCACTGAAAGCACTCAAAGTGGGAAAAATCTTCATTTCACTCTACATGTTGGTGAACACAGAAGAATTTAGTATGCATTCTTTTACAATCAAAGACAGTCCCTGCAAACCAACACATTTTCTATGATAACATGTATGAAATGTTGCACAAATGCCTCTTAGGCAGAGTAAACACAGTTCACTTTAATTTCATTCAATTTATTCGTCCACCAGTGTGGGCTATGGTGAGACCCTACATGATGTCCAAGTAGGGCAAGAGGACTCACAATCTTGTGCCATATTTTTATTTTATTTTTATTTCTCAGAATTATGGGATAATTTTGCCACCTGTGTTGCTAAAAGAACGAATGAGCAACGACCAAAATCATCGCACCACATTCTCATCCATCCATCCAAGGTGCCGTGCTCTACAACCTTAACCGTATTCTATTCTCAGACAAAACCTATCCGCCAAGCTCTCTCTCATATGTACGCATGGCGCAGCATGAGTCGCGATATCCACGTACTACGAAGATACACATGCGCAGTGTGAAAAGCAGCCATTTACAAATACACCGATTTAGATGTATCAGGAAAATTCGAACCTCGCTGTGTGTGCTTTGTCTGCGGAGTGGGGCGGAATCTACGAGTTGAGAGAAAGGGCGGGGTTGGGGGGGGGGGGATTCTCGCTCTGGCACAAGGGAGAGATGGAGATGCAGAGAAACGGCGGTGCGATGCATTTTGGAGGCGACAGATTAATGCGGGACCGTGTGTCATATACCCGAGTAGGTGCTAGACTGGTAGTTATGAGCAATCGTCACAATGATTCTTCTCCCTGTCCTGGGCGAAGAAGCTGTGACAAATTGTTTTGTAGACAGATGGCTGGATGCGGAGGAGGCTTAGCAGGAGGAGTTTTGGTGAGAGGTATTTGAGGAGCTACAGCCCGTGTCCAAGATTTTGCGGGCCGTTCGGATTTAGATGGTGCTGTTTGCGGTTGTGTGTTTTTGTTGAGAAGATTTTAGTATGAAGAGAATGCATAAGTCGGGAAGAGATCTCTGCAGAGTGGAGAGGGAGGAGACGAGGAGAAACAGCTGTGCTGTAGTGGAAGGAATTGTGACGGCTTCGATGGTTTGGACAGGCTGATCAGGTGTTGTTCGTGGAAGCTGAAGCACACCATGCATGGAGAGAATGAATTCGAGAGGGTGGAAGTGTGCATTGGACTGGATTGGTATGGTGCTGAGTTGAGCCGGCGTGTTTGTGGATAAGTGCATTGAGGGTGATGTTGGTTATGCCGAGTGCTCTTATTCACACAGTGGATTAGTTTTTTTTTTTGCTTTTTGTTTTTTTGTATTTTTTTGTATTTTTTCTCTTTTCTACTCGGCTTCTCCTTGTGAGGAGTTTGGTAGGCTGTTGAGAGACGAGAAATATCAATGTCAAGTTTGGATCAGTGAATTAATTACTGCATTGTGTGGTGGTCGTGGCGGAAGGTCCCGGCGTGCCTCTCTGCTTGTGAGAAAGCCTTTCGGTACTGCTGCCTCGTGGAGCTCGATAGGCTTGTGTAGTTACTCACACGTGTGACCGTTACGGGATGACGACGAGCGCCGGCATAATCTGTGCGGCTTCAAGTTGCTTCTCGTGAATGCTTCTCAAGTGCTGGAACACCACCGTTTAGAAAAATTTGAGATAATCAAGTGTGGAATAGTTTGCAGCTCACGACTCCGTATGGAAAGGATGTCTGACACAAATTTTATTTAAACTATCCTGTTAAAGATGTATTGGGATGACGTGCCGCAACTTACAACGCTGTAAGCTCGACGACTGCAGCACGGCAGTCGCGGATAAGCACGCCGGGTAGTAATTATAGTTCTTCGTAGCAGTCTGGTACTTCAATCTTGTAAGTGAAAATGTGTGGAGTATCGCAAGGCGTCTTCTGCTGCGTCCGTATCTCTTAAGACATCAGTCGAACAGACAGCTCGGGGTGATGGAGCCTGTCTTGGACTTGAACTAATGTGCAGACAACATGTGCTCCAACATGGAAGAGGCAGAGGCAGGTAGAGGGAACAGATAGGAATGGAACAAAGAAGCCAAGTCGAATGTAAACGAATCGAATTTTTCAATCCAAGCTCTAGAGGGTTAGCAAGCGGCCAGGAGCGGGGTTCACCTTTCATTGGCTACACATTGTTGCGGTTGCTAAGGAGCTTATCATGGTCTAGAGGACTGCGGATTCCGCGTTGTCTAACATCTTCCAATCACCGGAATCATAATCCTGTTACCCCTCTTTACCATTCCGATCACATCAAGGCTGTGAGTTGCTGCGCGGTTTTTTGTAGGTTTCTTACTTCCAACCTAGTGTTCAGCCTTTTTCTCTTGTCTTTTTCATGATGTATGTAAGGAATCGACACGGAGCTTTTCCATGTTCTTCTGGCTTTTTTTGTCGTGTACACACAACTTCTCTTCCTCCCCCGATTATTCAGTATTTTAGCCATTTGTTTCACGCCCGAGGCAGATCTCTATGTTAATCTAGTAACCGTCATCTGTTCATTAACGGATTTCAGTACGATTGCTTACATTCTTGCGGGATACCATCTTGAACAGTAATTTCATGGCGACCAGATACCCTGTTTGTTGAGCTACCAAAAATTATATTGGCAGTGAAATTGGGAACAATGAAAAAAATAAACTATGGAGTATTTTCTTATTTTTCCGCCACCCTTGGATGGTACTCAGATTTTGCGCCTAAGATGAAAGCCTCACGGGCATCGCTGTTGAGCCAATTGGGAAGGATATCGATTGATGTTACTTCTGAAGATCAGTTTGAAGTTCGCAGCATGGATGGAACAAGTTCAACCCTTAGCATGGAGCGCCTCAGTGTAGACCTTGTTGGTGATGGAGACTTCAACTTAAGTTTAAATCATGGTGATGACGGTGCAAGCAGCTCGGCGGAGTCTTCACCTTTGGGATGGCCGTTGGCAAGAATGGACAGGCAAAGTGCAGCTCCTTCATCTTGTTCATCCAGTCTTACTTGTGAAAGGAAACATTTCATGTGGGAAAGACAGAGAGAGAAGAAGACGACAGAGCTCTCAGGTTTGTCAATGTTGTTTTCCTTAGATCCTCCGATTCCGTTGCGGAGATAGAACATCACGATCGAGCTTGGTAGCTATTAGCATCAAACCGGGTTGCCTCTCAGTATAGGCAAGATTTTGAATTCTGCATTACTATTCGAGTGCATTTTATGATGCATATGTCGTGTACACGGCTAGTGTGATGCTGTAATATGTGTTGCCTGATTGTGTCTTCTGTTCTTGCAGAGGTGGAGATGATGAAGGAGAGGTTTGCAAAACTATTGCTTGGTGAAGATATGTCAGGTGGGGGCAAAGGGGTTTGCACAGCGTTGGCTATATCGAATGCAATCACAAATTTGTCAGGTGAAAATCAAAGCTATTACCGTAATGGCAATAGATTGTTTGTTTTCATGTTGAAAGCAAGAATGATTTTCGCGTTGTAAATATTAATGTCCAGATTTTTGTTCACAGCGTCAGTGTTTGGAGAGCTATGGAGGCTAGAACCACTCCCTATGAAGCGGCAGACCATGTGGAGACGAGAGATGGAGTGGATGCTTTCAGTTACTGACCATATTGTTGAGCTGGTTCCTTCTTGGCAAAGGTATCCAGATGGAAGCAGAATGGAGGTATGGAATCCTCAAAAGATACATTGTCCGCTCTTTCTCAAGATATCGAATCTCGCACATAACATGTACCTATTGATACGTATGTTTTATGCTACTCATACCAAGCAGTCTGCTTATAGTTCCAAAGGTGAATGCAACTATACGTTGTTCTGACCCCCCCTCCCTTTTATTATTATTATTATTATTATTATTATTATTATTATTATTGTTGTTGTTGTTGTTGTTCCTCTCTCTGAGTCCTGAAGATTGATGTTTATTTAAAATGCAGGTAATGGTCAGCAAACCTCGACCAGATCTTAATATCAACTTGCCCGCACTTAGAAAGCTGGACAATATGTTATTGGTAAGTGCCTAATCATTCCACATGCACTAAATGTGGTGTTGCATGACTGCTTTCTCGTAACTATATTTTCTTTTAAATAAACAGTCTATTAAGAACCTTCATTCTTCATGTACATTGAAGTAGTAGGTCTATGTTGTGGACAAAGGTGGAATTATGGATCAGAAGCTTTTTTTTAGTGAGCTCAGTTTACCTTGGGTATGGACTGCACCAATGTTGTAAGTTAATAGCCAGCGTATTATAAACTTCGTACAGAATTTTCCACATTAACATTAATGGTTGTGAGGTTGGTAATAGGATCTCGATTATTGTAGTCTTACGAACTCATCGTGGTTTCATTCTTTGAACTACCTTGAACGCGACCAGTTGCCTGTCCAGATATTAACAAATTTTGAGGAATCAATTTTCAATTTTTATTTCATACTGGCATTTCTTTTGACTCTCCAGGAATCGCTCGGAAGCTTCCAAGAGACGGAATTCTGGTATGTGGACCACGGGATTGCAGTTTCTGAGGACAGTAGAAGTGCGCGACATTCTATGCAACGCCAAGAAGAGAAGTGGTGGTTGCCCACACCCAATGTACCAGAGAATGGTCTTTCTGAGGCTTGCAAGAAGTTCCTACACTATCAACGTGACGCCACAAATCAAATTCTTAAAGCTGCTATGGCTATCAATGCGCAAGTTTTGGTTGAGATGGAGCCACCAGAAGCTTACCTTGACACTCTGCCCAAGGTACTCTCTCTCGAGTAGAAAATGGTTAACCTTGCATTAAAGTTTCATGTGTTAACATTCGAGATCCGAATTTCCTGGAGTCATACCCATATATGAAGAAATTCTTCTTGGGAAAGTGGTGGAACAGACATTGATCAAATCAGGGAACTGTAGATCAACAATGTGATCACAGAGCTTGACAAGTTGTAGTTGTCTTTCAGAATGGAAAAGCTTCTCTCGGCGATGAATTGTACCGGGCTATAGCCTCCGAACACTTCTCTGCCGAGCATCTCGTCTCGACCTTGGACATTGATGATGAACACAACATTTTAGAGATGGCGAACCGTTTAGAAGCTGCTGTGGTTGGATGGCGGCGAAGAATTCAGGCAAAGTCTATGGCACAGATGTCACCTTACGGTAACAAGCTTAACAATAGAACCTCTTGGGGCAAAATGAGACACCTTGTTGGGGATACGGATAGGAGAGCACTGCTTGCTGAACGAGCGGAAAGTGTTCTTATAAGCCTGAAGCAGCGAGTTCCTGGAATGGCGCAGACCGTTTTGGACGCAAATAAGATTCAATTCAACAGGGTATGTTCAAAACCAATGCTCGCTCATCACGGGATCCCAAGGATCAAACCGTCGTTATATCAGTGTAACATGAGTACTTTGATCTTCGACTTTTGATCTGCGAGTATGAAATGCAATGTTCACTATATTGTTCTCGAGGTGAAGTCTTTTCACTAGTTTGCATGGGTTGAATCAGAATAAATTGTGCTGCTCTGTCTGTTGTTACGTTTCAGATTTTTCAAGATGGAGAACTAATTACAGCACTATTCTAATTCATTGTTTGTTGCAAAATAGGATGTGGGGCAGTCAATTCTCGAAAGCTACTCCAGGGTGCTGGAAAGTCTATCGTTTACCATCATTTCACGCATTGATGATGTCTTGTACGCGGATGATCTTGTGAAGAGGTCTATTGTACCTCAACTATCCGTTGCAAAAGAAGTTTCAGTGTCGCGACGCCTAGGTTTCTCAAGCCGAAGAACGAGGTCACATGGGAGCGAGTCAAAGCGGTTCACTAACCTGAACACCACATTCGCAACTCCCATCATCTCGCCAAGCTTTTCCCCTTCCCTCAGTCCACTTAAAGCAACACCTAATTCTCCACACAACGTTGCTACCGGACTAATTATAGCGTCGTCTCTGGGTAAAGCACTGTCAGAGTACATGTGCAGGCATATACCAGAGGGTGAAGCTTTATCAGAAAATGAAATATCACGCAAACTCCAAGTAGATGGGGTTAAATCATGGGCACATGCTAGACATCTTGAGAAATCAAATGTCCATCACAGTCTTGGGCGGGATTAGTTGTAGTGAGCAGTGAGTTGCTTTTGCTTTGTACATTATACATTCTTCAGCGATCAGAATTTGCCATGCCATAAGTGTAAAATACACTGTACATTCTCCTTTCTATGTATAATGGAAGTCGATTTCATGTCATTAATGAAAGATGCTACTCAAGTACGTATGAATGTGTGGAAATGATTCATTAAATATGCGACTGAGTAAGGGGAGACAGCTGATTTGTTATGTGTAAAATTTCCTTGGAAATATGTCCAGCAGGACTTAAGCCTTCAGATATATGTGTAGTCAAGTATTCAGCATAATATGGTTCTGTCATGCCTCAATACCTCAGGCATGAGTGCACCATCTTTGGCCCAAATCTTTGACCTTGAGGCTAAGAATCTCACGCTCTTCCAATTGACCTGAAAATCACTGTTTGAGTAAAAATGAATGGTACGTACGGTGTAATCAATGGTTCAAATGAATGGTACACATGGTATAGGGGGGTCACCAAAGCGTATGTCTACAATATGTAATTCAGCAAAGAAGCATTGAATTAAACCAAGATAAGCCACATGTAACATCTTGTATAATACAGACAGTTCTTTGATTCCACGTAAGATATCTGTTGGGCATGTGCTCTACCGACTGAGTAAAAAATAGGGAGAAATAAAATGTTTAATTAGTTATTATTTATTTATAATCATGTATAGATATTTTTAGTATTCGATTATCATATGTTTTTTCTTTTACATCCAAACCATCATCAAAAACTAAATCTGCTATTCTTATCAATTAATTTTGAAATAAATAAATAAATAAATAGAAGTATATTCATTTGTTTAGGATTATGACTTAAGCACTATTCTAATGTAGGCCCAACCTCCTTTAATGGTGTTGTTGGCTTAGCATACATTATTTATATTCTATACTATTGGAATTATAAATTATAAAATACTTTTGAAATTATGGTGTAAAAGTAGAAACAATTTTTTACTAAAATTATAAGCATGAGAAATGAAAACTTCATTTGTAGAAGGCAGCTAAGAAGAGTTGTCTTCATTTAGCACTACCAAAGTTTAATTACTTCTTATTTAGGTGCCTAAAACTAGACAACTCAAAATTGAATTAGTTTTTTTGAAGCCCTTTTCTTAGCTTTCTCTCTTCTTCAAGGATACATGAGAATATTGTTTATTTAGAGTTATATTGTGATTCATGCTCTTAACATATATATTATGTTGTGTATATATTATTGCACAAATATGGTATAGCAATACATGGTATATGTTAAGTACAAGAGTTCAAAGAATGTAAATAAAAAAAACAAGTTGTACATTAAAAATATGTATATTCAAGAAAAAAAATTAAAAAATTAAAAATTAAAAAAATAATCAAAGATAAGAAGTTTAGAAACTTTTGAAACTATATTAGAAGCAAGAAAGGCATTAATAAGAATTAGAAAGATATCATTCTTGCTTCTATACATACCATCTAACTAAAGAGCTATGTGACAATATCTTATGGGCCTAATGACATGAGTCCAACTTGCAAAATACATGTATAGCCTTGAGGGCAAGTGCACCATATGGCCAATATATATAACATGTGATTAACTTGTTAGCTAAGTTTTCAACCTACCAATCTCCTACCAACATATGTGAAGTTAATTTTTCAAATAGAAATATTTTAAGAAGCTTTTGAATAAAATAATATCAATTTAATCTATTACTATTTACTCCTATTTAATTCTATTTAATTCTACTTATTTGAATAAATATAAATGTTATTAACAAAGTATTTTTTAGATACATGTCTTATTCAACTATACACACAATTATCTGTAAATACAATACAATTACATATGATTTGTTGCTTCTATGTACAATCCACATTGATGTCTGCATAGTGTGTTATAAACAAACATTTTTTTTTTTTTTTTTTTTTTTTTTGTAAATACAAGTTTAAAAAAATTCTAAAGCTTTGTAATTAAAATATTTTTAATACATAAGAATATATAAAAAACAAAAAGTTTTGATATATATATATATATATATATATATATATATATATGTATACAATGATATAAATCTATTATATTACAAAATTACATTATATGTAAAAATAGTTATATTATTAATTAAAATTAAAGATTTCTTCTATGACTTGCTTAATTTTTAATTAAATCACAATATAATACCAATATTTTATGGCTTGTTATATGATATCAATAATTAAATGTATTAAAAAACTTAACTATTTGTTCAATAAAGTTGCTTATTATTCTCCTATTAATATGACTATAACATTGTATTTTGTAAATATCAATATTCTTTTAACCAAATCAACAAATAAATTTTGAACTTCGAACAAGAAGCCATTACTACTTAAACAATAAAATGATTTGAATATTATCATAATAAAAAGTATTATCATTTTAATTTTAAAACAAATAAGTATCTATATTTATAATATTTAAAATAAATTATAAACTTTAAAACTTCTTTTTAACTCCTAGTCACTTTCTTTAATAAAAAAAATCATAAAATTTAAATTAAAAAGTCACTAAATATTTTTAAGATCAAAAGACTTAACATCAATCTTAAAATATAATTTCATTCTTATTTTCTATTTCTATGCATATTAAATTTTATTTTTTAAAAATCTAAATTTATGTCCTATCCTGATTCAACCCAACCAACACCCCTAAATATAAAATATAAAAGATAATATTATATAACAATGAACTTTTTAAGTTTACAACAATTTATATACATTTCTAATGATTTGTATTTTGGCTTTACAAAAACATTTGGTGCATCTATAAGAAATTTTAGATAAAAAATTATTTCTTATAAGATTTTTATTATAATTGTTTTTAAAGGTAGCTAATTTGTGTCGCAACATGCTGTAAATTGGTCAAACTAGTTATTAAGCTCTATCTTTAAGGTCAATAGTACATTTGTAAAAATAATATTTAAGTAAGATAGATTATTTTTAATATATATATATATATATATATATATATATATATTTACATCTTTTTTGAAAGTATATATACTATTCTAAGATGTCAGAACTTTACTTTAAAGAGATTTACACTTTCTTCAAATGATAAAAAAGAACTTTGTTTCTGAAAATTTTATTAATTTAATTGCTTTAATATTTAATAACTTGGTATTTATATAAATTAAAAATTTATTAATAATTTGGTATTTTCTTAAATAAAGTAAAAATTAAAAAGTAAAAAATATCAAATATATCTAAATATTATACTTTTGGAAATTAATAATCTTATATAGTAAGATTAGTTAAATAGTTATTGATATTAAATCATATCATGCTTTTATAATCATATATAATTAATTTTATTATTAGGATTTAATTTACATCATGTCTAAAAGGTAAGACGAAACTATTTATAATATCTACTTGTTTCAATTTAATATTATTTTATCAAAGATATTTTATAAAATTTATTAAATTTTTTACTAAAAAAACATGTAAAGGCTTTAGGATCTAATATGACAATGGTAGAAAGAATATGATGTTGAGATTCTAAACAAATTTCTACTACAACATAAGAAGTAGAATAAAAAGAAAATATATGACCATCATATGATGATATTTTATAAGAATTTGAGTATATAATTATAATTTTCCTTAAGATTAGAAAAAATATATTTTCTGTAACCAACCACATTGTGGAAGTCTTCAGGTCACGGCATCGGACCACTTCACCGCGGTCACAAGTATTTTCTCCGACACGGTTTTAGGACTGATAGAAAGAGAGGTCGGAGCTTTGTCGCACAGTGGAGCTCCGATTCCTGCATTTCGATCACTCGTCGTCAAGCTCGATTGTTGCCAAGTGCCGCGCTACATTGTGCAGTTGCTGAATACTGGTGTTGATTCTGCGCATAGCGAGGTTGTGGAAGTGTTTTTGTTGTTCATGGCTGTCAGAATAGAAAGCTCCGACTCAACCAGGAATTGATCCGTGGTTTGGATCCAATTTGTAGAATTACATCGTCGCGTCGCAGAATTTCTACTATTAAGCTTGAGCGGTGGTCTAGCGTCGTCAGGGGACGGAAATTCGCATTGCCTGTAAGAGTAACTTTTTTTTGGTCCTTGTGATTTTTGTTTTTTGATTCTGAAGCTTTCTTTGTTCATTGATTGTTGGTCGACTCAATTCCGCTCGTCGTGATGTGTTCTGGTCGATAGACTTACCGTCTCATACAAAGTATTATATCTAATTGGGCATTTATAGGTTTTGAGATTCCGAGGTTCCTCTTAAACCCTACCTGAATGGATGAGAGGCAAGCAGTGAAGGAACCGGAATCATCGGAGTTTCGGCAAGATTTCGAACAGCCTCAAAGACCGGAGAGAATATCTTTGGGACACAATTACGCAACGCAAACCTGCTTCTCGAAAGCTGCAAATGGGTTCGTGAGTGGCACTATCCTTGGAGCCACCATGTCTGGTGTGAGTGGCATGGCACGGGCTACTCAGCTGCAGATTAGGTCAGTTAACCTTGTTTTCGTGCGAAAGGGGTTGAGATCATTGGAGAACTTAGTATTCAGTGCCTATGTTGTAAGGGTCTACGGGCTAAAAGTTATCTTGTTCAATTAATTCTTGATAGGTTTTTGCAGTGTTCAACAATTAACGCTTTGACATCGCTTTTTCACCTCCGTGCGTGTTTATCATCCTCCTATTTTGTGAATCATAGTTCATTTTGCATATGTTGTACATAGGTTTCCTGCAGCAGTTCAATCAGTAGTAGGAGCAACTATAGTAGGTGGCGTCGCATTTGGATCTGCTTTAGGGGCATACCAAGGTGCGGTGTGTACATTTCGTCGAGTACGAGGTGATTGTCTTTTCTAATATCTTTCACCAATGATTATGATTTCTGGTTTATCAAGTTATTATCATGTTTCAATAGTGGATGCACATTTCCCTGTTGATTTCGCATTACTTTATTGCGGTATTTTTAAATCAGGGAATTCTAATTCGTTGAATTAGAGCAGGAGTGGACGACATCATGAACCCGATGATGGCAGGAGCGCTTGTAGGAGCTCTAAGCGAAATTCCTGTATATCTTCGCAGCAAAGTTGTCACGAAAGCTGAATTAGTATTAACAGAACAGGTAGACCGATTTTCATTCATACCCGCAGTTTTGAATCCATCGTATTCAGGATTATCAGAACATGTATGATGGATAGCTTAGCAAGGACCAGTTCACAACTTTACTCTGTATTCTACTTATTTCGTTGAGACAATTGCTTGGTATACGTTTAATTGCTCTACATTTGTTAGGAGCTTTATACCTATCTCCAGCAATTGTGGGGTTAACTTCTCATGTTATCTCGAGAAACAGGACATGGTCTATTCTTGTATTCTGGTTACCTGCATTTTGCTCTTCTATTGATACTAACCCTACTTTTTCATTTTCGCATTACGAAGACGATGTCGTATTGTGGTTTCCTGGTTATTGTTATAGATACTAATCTGGTTGTATAATGTGTATGTGATAGGGCATGCATGTGGTGAGACCTAGACCCAGATTCCTCACAAACGCTTTTGGTAAGTTTGTGCCTTGTGTACCAGCTACTTCTATCATGGATTATAATTCTGGGTCCGTCTCCGTGTAATTTGACCAGATGATTATCCTGTTTACAATGTGAGCAATGCATTCTGCGGATTCCTCTAAATAGACTTGGTACACTCAACTTATTCAAGCCCTGAAGCTTCGTGAGATCCATGTAACTCGTGGGAGGTTAAACCTGCGCTCGGTTGGGGTGATTGGTCGATCATCCAGTCATCCCCATTTCATTCTCCCTTGAGGAATTGTGGTCTTTGAATCCAATTTGTGGTTCGCATTTTGAAAATATAAAAGTATTCAAGTTTTACAAATATTCCTACGTCCTTCTAGTAGTTATATGGGTATCTCGAAGTTCTGTCCAGTTTGAATCTTAAAATATTGTTTTTGGCTCTCTGCTCACGTTTTTCTGTTAGGCGTTGCCTCTCCATTCGGTTATTACCTTTTCGCACTTAGGGGGATAAGAATTTTACTAGCTCGTGGTCATTCATGCAGGTGGAGCATTCCTCTGTGGTTTATTCTACTTGGTGGGTGACGCAATTAGACCAGCTCCTGAATCAAGACCTCAAAGCATACCACAACCCCCTCAGGGAACTATTCAAGACGGGCGGGAAGGACAGGAGCTTGATACTTGGAATTCTTCTGAAGATCATGAGAATAACGGTGAATGGGTATTTAATGAATCACCGAACGAAGAAGTTCTGGAACGCGAGGACTCGAGCTGGAGCACAAAGTAGCCTGTGATGGCGAGGCTGAAACAATTCCAGGAACTGTTGTCTTGGTGCTGGGAATTCAGGAATGGAAGCAAACAATTTTTCAATAACTGACTGATGGGTAAACAAGTAGAGACTGATTGTCATGCTAACAGTTATCAGTCCATTCAGGTGCTCGTAAGTGAAGAATTCTTTTGCTGTCATTAGGGCCCTTCATTGTGAGGCCTGTGTTCAGTTTGTTATTAGGAGGAAGCTGGGTGCCGAGTAAATGTTTTATTCACTTACAGTCCCCTCAGTGTTGGCGAAAAGAGTTATTACAGATGTATCCAGATTAAATTGTAGTTTGCTATGCATGCCACATCTACAGGCCTCTCAGTTCCGAACACGCAAAGATGTGTGTCGCAGTAACGCAGAAATTTTATATTCAATATCTTTCACAGATCTTCAATACCAATCGTAAAGCTTTCTTTACTAAACTTCATCAGATTAATTAATCAATCAAGGGACCAATCAATTTTTAAAGATTGCCCTAAGCTCGATTTTCAATACTGGGCTTGATTCTCAATTTTTTGTCATTAGAGGATTTGTACTTCAATTGGTTTTTATTTGTCGCAGTTATTAGAGGTTTGAATTGTGACTCAAATACCAATTTAAAGGGTCCTGACTTTATCCAAAAATCTAATGAAATTACTTGCAATCATGCATTTTTAACAATTACAAGGCAATTATAGATAAGAATATTTATTGAATTGTGATCAGAGATTCCTCGAGCAAAAAGAAAATGGAATTTATATATTCTACTTATTAGTTGTTCCATTTGTGCGTGCCCTTTTTGTATTTCCTAATATACACATCAATCAATCAGTTTACCTGATTATACATCTGTATATAAGAAAATAAGTTTAGAGTATATAAAAAATGTAGGGTATGGTAGTTTAGAAATATCAATTATAATAATTGTACATTAATGTTTTCTAAAAAAAATTATTCTATCAACTAATTAATGTAAAATGTAATCATAAGTATTTCAAGTCAATATTCATGTCTTATTTATTTATAAATATGTAAGTAAAAAATGAAATATTCTTATTTGAATCACATAATTAATTAATGAACCAATCTAAGTAAAAATCTGTTTAATATTTTTAATATTATGAGGAATGCATGAACAAAAATATAAATCCAAAGATGCAGGTATACATCTTCTTATATACATATTTAATAAAATTTTAGACTTTGGAATTAGTACGTGCTGATAGTATTTATTTGTTTGTTTATTTATTTGTTTATTTATTGAATTTTATTTTTTTTTGGTTTGTTTTTTTTTTTAAAATTCAATGGTATATTACATAGTAAGAATTATAGAAAGTTATATGACATTAAAAATAAAATAAAATAAAATACTCCTATCTATCTTGATACTTAGATTATATTTATATTTATAATTAAACTTATAATATATTTAATTAATTGAACTTATTTGTAATGGTGATGGTCTTTTTTATCATGTGACAAGTTGTGCATTTCTTATGATAGTTTTAATAATAGGTTACATCTCAATTTAGGTTAGGTATAGCAATGCTAATATTGATCCATGTAGGACAAAAGTGTTGAAGCATAAATTGCATCTTACATTCTTAAAAAGAACTGAAGACTTGAATTAAATACTCTTGCTTTGTAAGTTAAGAAATAATAAATATTTTGGATTAGAAACAATATAGTGATTGTATTGCAAAGTAATCAAGCACTAATTATATTTTAAAACTAAATTAGGTGTCATTTAGAAAGATTAAGATGTGCTAATGATGCTTCTTATTTTACTAATTTAGATTTTGTCTGTTACAAACTGTAAGCACCTTGGACCTATTTCTAGGATTTTTTAAAAAACTATGCTATTGTAATAAAAAAGAGCAAGATATATGTGATTTCTTTTAGGATTTACCTACCAAGGTTTTATCTAAAGTATCAAGGAGCAAAGTTTAAGCTCTTTCTCCAAATAATTCTATTGTAAAGGAAATTTCTAAATTGAGTGTTCTAAAGATTTTTAAATATTATGTTGTTTGGATAGGATTTGCTATCAATATTTTTATTAATTAAGAAGAATAAGACAAATAGATAAAAACTTTAAAGAAGTTTAATTAGATTTTTAATCAGATATAATGTTTGTCATTCTTAATGTTTCTTTGTGTAAACCAAATTTAATTTAAGAAAATGGTTTGTAAAAATGTGAGCAAGTTGAAGATCAATTAAGATATAATTTGATGTTATTTCCTTCTTCAAAAGTCTTTTTCATACAAAATGATAATGCACTTCTATACATTTTGTTCTTACATGAATTATTAGATTTTTTACTAGTTTGATAGTAAATTAGTAGTCACAAAATTAACAAGGTGTTTGATATAATATTAGATTTGATATTAAAGCTTGTATGATTGATAAAAAGAGCAAGCTTTGAAGGTGAATATACATAAATTTCTATGGATAGACTTTTTAATCAAATAGCTTTTGAGTTTCTATTTGAAAGATTTATATATTTTGATATAGTAAAGTTTTTGAAGATGATTAGTTGTTTTTTATGGTGCCATATAATTGTAGAATCCATAACTAAGAAGCAATAATTCCTTGAAAGAAATTAAATATCAAGACAAGTTGTCTACTTTGCATCAATATAGCCTCTAATAGTTATGCTCTTGTATTATTTGTAAAACAATCTAAAGTTTGATATTTTTTTGATAGAATGAAAAATATGCTTAATTATATTAAAATAAGCTATTTCAAGATTTGACATAAAAATAGAAACTAAACTTATAGAGTATGCTAAATCTTGCCAGGTTGTGTTATGAATATAAAAATTTCTACTATTTTCTAAAATATTTATAGTTGTTAATTAAAAAGAATTCACATTGACTAAAAGATAGATCCCCAATATTAGAGAATTATATTATATGTTGCAATTGAACATTCTAAATTCAAGCAGCATGTCAAGGACATATTAGTGTTGATATAAGAATATTTTTATAGATAAGTAGGTAAATTCTACTTCTAAATATATTTATCTAAAGTATATCATGTCAATTTTTTTGAGTAATTGTAGTTTAAAATAAGATTTATTTATTTATTACCACTTGTAATAAAAAAGATTGTTAATATAGACAATTAAGATAATCTTGTCATTATTTGTACTAATGTTGTAAAGATTATAGCCAATCGAGCTATTAATCAAAGTTAAAGATATGAGATATATATATAAATGCATTCATATCCTATTTGTGGATTTTGGTGTAGACCATAGAAGACTCTCTTTAGTTTGCAAATTAGGTCTCTATTTTTAACTATAACAAATTATGGTGGCTATTTATTATAGAAGCAAAATTTACGTGAAAATAGAATAAAGCATTTTTAACATGAAGATGGTGAATGTTGTATCTTTTTTGTACTACCCTTATAATTAGAGTTCTATTCATGGGCAATTTTTTCATAGAAATATATACTTAGTCAATTTTTTTCTTAAAACACTATTTAAAATCTCTTGCTATATGACAAGTTTTAAGTTTAGGTAACTATTTATTGATATATATTTTTAATATATATATATATTTTAAAATAATAATGATACTAAATCCTACATTTGGTTCTTGTAAATAGAATTGAATTCTTTGAAGATAATAATTGTCTAATCATGATGTTCTAAAGATTATTCATGTACAATGGTACTACTTTCTAGTTTAAAAAATATTTTAGTCAAGAAAATATCAAAATCCTTGAGATGATAAATAAGATGTAATCATCTAATTTAATGCAAAGCTTTTTAAATATGCTTTTTTATCTAGGTAGTAGGAATAATACTTTAATAACTTGTATAGAGACTAGCTTTAATAATAAGACAACAAATGAATAGAATTAAAATCTATAAAAGTGATACTAAGTGATAGACAAATTTAAAGATGTATTTGTCAACAATCTAAGTTGATAATATAGACGACTAGAATTATATAGAAAATGAGGATTAAAGAGCCTTTCTTAGTTCTTTGACTATAATAAGGTGGAAGAAAAAACAATTTAAATTTTGAAAAAGACTTGAGGATATGATCATCAAATAAAGATAATTCTTTGTGATCAGGTATGTCTAAATTTTTTTTATTACAAATCATAATTTTTTAAATATATATATTTTTAATATAATCTCAATAATATTAGGCTTTTATTTTTTATTATATTCTACTAATATTGTTTTGGTAGGCTTTAATTCTTATTTTTTATTATTTTTTATGTATAAATATGATAAACATCTAAAAATTCTTAAATGAGATATATCAAGTTTGTCCCTTAAATAGATTTTTAGTTGCATTATGTAATACAAGGTTTAATGTGGTATTTGATTTGAGACATAATTTACAATTCAAATATATTTTTTTAATAGAAATAAAGGTAATTTGACTCTAAATAATTAATTACATATATTTTCACAAAGATGACAATTTTTCTTTTTAACATGACCATTCTATTTAGAAGTACCAACAATACTTAGTTAGCAATGTTTACCATGTAATTTACAATAAGCATTTGAATTTAATTTAAAAGTCTTGTATTTGAAAGCTAAAACAAATCTCTTAATCTTCAAAAGAAATTATCTATAAATATGAATATATATCATTTATTTACTTAAAAAAGACCTATATAAATCTCAATATACTAATTTAAGTATCTTGGTAGTTGAAATGAGGCTTCTTTTAAGAATTGGTTGATTGTGTTGTTTTCTAAAATACATACTTTGAATATAGGCTTAACTTTTGGTACCAAAAATAATTTATCTACCATGTTAATATATAATAGATTGTATAATTATTAATAATTTAAATATTTAGTTTGTCTATACTATAATTTTACTTTGTTTGTTTGCTCTAAAGTAAGATTTATCAAAAAATTTGGTATACAAGATTGAAACTTTTGAAGTAGAGAAGTATGAAGCCTATAGAACCTATTGCCTTGCATTCTATTAGTTCTTTACATGATTTTTATTTGACCTTATTTTGAAAAAAATCCTTTAATTTTTTTGATTTCAATAATATCAACATTCTTTTATTTTTAATTTTTTCAATTCATAATAGATTTTTATACTTATATATAGAGAATATAATTTATTATTTTATTGTTATCAAGTTTGATATTTTTTTGTATAATTATGGATAAAGAACTACTTCCTATTATAATAATTATAGATTGTGGTTTGATTCTAATATCTATATGAAAATCTTTGTTATCCAATAATATAATCATTAATTTTGCTACCTAAAAACCAACTATCAAGAAAATAAGGCTTTGAATTGTTTTACCTTAATAGCACAAATTTTGAATACTTTTGCAAGTGCCTCATGTATTAGTATAGTAGGTTCATTGTATCTTGGTTGCTCAATTTTCTAGCTTTTATTTGGATTAATAGAATTCATCTTATAATTTAAAGAATTTATTGTAAGAAAAAATTTT